AATCATTTTGCCATCAGCAATCACCCGCATGGTGTAGTGGTGAACGCGTTACACCCCGGAAAGGACAATAGCGCGGTCGTTCCCCATCGCAGATACCTGCGGTTCGGAGTTTTGCAAATATCTCAGCATGATAATAGTTCTATTTCGCAAAAATATCCTGCTTTAAAAAGAATAGGCAGTAATTAAAAAGGTTAAGATTGTGATTAATAGCAATTCGCTATTATTTCAGATATTTTTCTGACACAATCAATATCTCTTTCTAATTTTTCAGTTTCTAGAAACAAATTAAATCTTCGGAAAGTTAGACATAAAACTCTAAAACTTTATGTAGAGCTCTCAGCGTTGATCAATCCCTGAGGGATGCGCCATGCATTCGACTTCATTAAGCAGCGTTTCGAGGTGATTGGACGCACATCTGATCTTTACAATGACTCGTAGTGGTTTACCGATGTATTGAACCAGACGTACTATCCTCCTAGACAAGTCTGGCACCAACTTGCCGACCTTGGAGGGATGGAAACCTTGGTGCCCCACGGGAATCGATCCCATATATGTGTTGCAGGGCGCCTGCGACCACTGCGTCACACTCGCCCTTCGGAAAGTTGGACACAATACTAGCAATTAAATTTGAGATGCATAATGTACAAAGAAAAAACAGATTTTAGTTGCTGTGACACCACAGAGGTTCTTATAATCACTATAATTGCAGAAATTACTATTAATATTATCGTTGTAACTACTATTATTGTTACCATTATTATTTTTTATATAGCTCCATACGCATTACGCAGAAAGCTAGAAATACTCCAACAAATGACGTCGAAAGTGCTTATCATTCTAAATATGACGGCCGAATGCCAAAAGGCCACACTACAACTCTGTTACGCTCTGGTTCGACTCCTGCTCAGACAAAAATTAACTTCATGAACGATAGAAACGTATTCTAGATTATAGCATATTCATGTTGCTCCCATCTATCAAGGAGATCGTTTTTCTGGCTCAGAAACCAGAATTATCACAATATTCGCCGATATTCAATATGCTGTCGTCTGCGCTCGACATTCCAGTCGATGTTTTAAGAACGACGGCCAGTTGGTGACGTTACCGTTAGTGTTTGCTGGCTGTGTCGCTGCAGAATCGTCCTATGTAGATTACTTTTGCAGCGTTTTAAAGTGACCTTCGATGACACTCTTCGATATATAATGCCTGTTTGGTAGCGTAAACCACTTCTGTAGTCCATACCTAGAGAGAGCTCAGGTTCTTTCCATCATCTTCAAAGAGTTTTTTTTTCATGTCTTCTGTCCTCAGTACCGCTCACATATGCCTGAACTATGCTTTACTAATAATGTCGTCTTAACAAACTCCACGTGGCCATTCTAGTCTGACGCTTCCACGATAAGACTAGTCTTTCGACAGCTGAGAATAATTTTTCGGTTGCTAGAGTATTTTACAGGTTCATAACTTCATAACATGGAAGAAGCTTTTCTCTATCTCATGAATCCTACACATCGTCTTATACGGTGTCCTTTTAAGTTTAAAATCAGGATTGCCAAAAAAACTGAAGATAAGGCTAAAATGCTGCAAAATTTTCCACCCAAGACGGCACCAACAGATAGCAGTAGACTGAGAAACGTCACCCTGTTCTAATAGAAGAAATTGTAGTTGTCATTTGCTTTAGTGTTTGAAATCTAAGCCTTGAAGGAAAAATGTAGAAGAAACATATGTCACGGGCTTCGGAAAATTAGTGCCTCATCGAGAACTTTAATCCTTTAGACAAATATTTGCGGATTGTAATATTAAGTTCAATTAATGAACTTCACTATGAGCTGTAATATGTTGATTTAAAGCTAATGAACGCTGCAATGACACTGTATGACTTCTATGGAAGTCACGTCGAGTAAGGATTTGTGATAGGACTTCATCACCAGTAGGATTTATGACTTAATGAATGGATTAATGGAAAAATTACATTACAACATCTGGTACTGAGGGGAGTCAACAGTCCTTTCAGGAAAGTGGCTCAACTTTTCACACATTACCTGTCAGATTGCAAGATTCCCAACCATCATGATCACATTGTTGAACTGGGAGAGAGGTAATCAGGAAAACGGGTAGGTATTATAGTACAATCTGCTTGGTGTCTGGTCTTCTAAAAACTCTTCACCCGCGTGCTCTTCGGCCGGATTAACAGAACACTAAACAAAACTAAACAAAGAACAGCCATGTGAGAAAGCAGAGCTTCACAAGCGATTCATCACCACAAACGACACCCTCAGGATAATTATTATCTTAATACCGAGGCTAAACGACAGTTGGTTCGAAAAATATTGTCTCGCTATTCGTTATGTGCTGGCTAACTCAATACCAACTGCTGCAAGTTGGATTACCCGTTGAAAGACGAGTTATTATCAACAGGTAGTCGTTATCAACAGTTGAGGTCGTCTTATTTGAGCAGTGCCCCACTGAAAAAGATCTGACTTGATATGACAGCTATATTGAGAACACGAATGACTGTGGACATTGACTCGGATCATCGGCTCTGAGAAAGACAAAAACGTAACCTCGTGTTAAGCGATAGCCGAAGAAAACTGTTTAGCAATCTCATGCTAGCTTAATAATCTGGAAAGTCGTGCTAAACAGGATTGACGTAACATGGACGAGGAAAAGTCATGTGAGCAAGAGGGGTATCGCCAGTGATTCAATACGATAAACCACATCCGCACTTATGCTTTAGCTCATTTCTATAAATCTAAGGAAAGCTGAATTAGAAGCTGTTATGAAAGCTCTATACTACAAAATCCAAGACTTGAAAATTAGTTTTTCAACCATTCTCTAGCGAGACTTAGTTTCAGTTGATTTAAAACCTTCAACTTTGAATGCGATAGAAAGGTATTTTCGTGAAATTTTCGCTAAGCACTGCCCCTGCTCCTTTTTCACCTAGTAATTGTTCTGGTTTTGCCTCAGTTTGATCTACCAAGCTTATTTGATTGATTGGTGTTCACGTTAACTGGGCGCATGTGGCGCAGTGGTTGGAAACGCCCTGCAATACGTGTAGGATCGATTCCCGCGCCCTTGGCTCACCAAACCTTCCATTCCTCCGGAGTCGGTAAATTGGTACCAGACTTGTTTGGGAGGATAGCAGCACTGGCTCGATACATCGGTAGGCCACCACGAGTTATTGTAAAGGCTAGGTATGCACTCAGTTACCTCCAGCAATGCTTAGTGAAGTCAAATGCATGGCGCATCCCTCAGGGATTGATCAACGCCGAGAGCTTCGTTCTTTTTTATACACACTGATTACCACATCCTTAAATGCTAATAAACATGGAATTATTAGAAAAAAAGAGATCAATAACAAGCACTGTTTGATTGTAATGGACGATTTTCTGTTTAATAATATCCATATCTGAATCAAATAAGGTGAACTGCGAATTATTCCCTCCGACGCCGCACGACAACTGACAAATTAACTCGAATCGCTTTAGCAGCTGAACAGAATGGTAGAAGAAAAAACGTTATTTATATCTAACTGGCTTCATGCTTGGTGACGTTACAGGTGTCGGTCGATGCGACCTCAACATCTGACTTTCACCGTTTTTTTTAAGCTTCATATCAATATTATCGCTAATAGGTTCACTAAAGCTCTCATTTAACAGTAGTAATAATGATAGTAATTGCCACGACCGACTTTCTATTAACCTCGGCATTGATCAAGTAATTTTCTTCGTATTTTTGTTGAGCAAACGCGAGGTGTTATTATTCTTTGTTCACGATTAAGCTGACGTTTCGGCGGATTTCGCCTTCCTCAGAGCCGCTTCCTATGAGGTTTTTCCCTCAGAGCCGCTTCCTATGAGCCTTCCACTAAGTATGTCACGTAGAGACCAACCGCACAGAAATCACATGGAAGTATAATGTGTATAATCACAGCTTAATCGTGAACAAAGAATAATAACACCGCGTTTGCTCAACAAAAATACGAAGAAAATGATAGTAATATTAATGGTAAAAGTAGTGACAATAACAGTGATTATTTCGTCACTAGACCCGGGGCAGACTTTAACCAGGCTGACCTCGGGATCTAAAAGAACCACAACGGCGCAACAGGCAAGTCTCCAAAAAAATATTAAAAAATGGGGATTGCGCTAGCGCCCGCACAACTCGTGAAGACGGGCCGTCGAAGTATCCGAATACCCACGTAATTTCGTCAGTAAAGAAAGGTTTTGCAAAACCAACATCTTTATGCTCTAACTTTTATTACTTTTATTTTCTGCTTATTCTCTGCCTTTCATTGCACTGCGCGCTATAAAATACAACCTCAGGGATGCTGAGACATCAGCAAAACTCAGAAGCTCAGTTGGGCATTGAACCCTCGATTGCCCTTGCCGGAGGCTCACATGCTATCCACCACACCAACCGAGGCGTTTGCTCCGTTTTCTCTCAGTTATGTTTTTACTTTTTCATCATTCTCGTCGGAAAGTGATTGATGATAGCATTGACAGAGAAAAAAAACTTGCTGAGATAATGGTAAAGCAAGGACCTCGGCCAGCGTGGTGGACAGCACTTGAGCCCTCGGAAAAAACAATTGCGGGTTCGGAGCCTTGTTATATTTTTTTTTGCCAAATAGATAGATAATAGGTTTCTTTACGTAAAAGAGTTGGGCTTTGACAAGAATATTCATGAAATCACGACATTCTTTGTGAAGGATTCGACGTCATTGAAGCTTCATTCAGGATAACCCCATAAGAACGAAATGGATATCCCTTCATCTGTTACGGTCTTTAAAGGTTTACAATAGAGCAAATTTACGATATCGGCTTTCTTGACAATGAAAAAAGTGTTGTCCCACTATGGAAAAGGAGTATTTCTCTCCCATATCACTAATTTTGATGAGTAGTGATTCATTTCTGCTTATGACTGTACTTTTTAATATTTTCCAGAAATGCTCATGATGCAGACATTCCCATTTCTCCTACTCATCAATTTTTTGCACTTAAAGCAAATTAAATCCTCGCAGCGCTGCAAAACAGGTGATTCTCGAGTGCACTCTCGATTCCGGTGCTCAAAACCCATTTCATTAAAGCCTTCTGAATATCCTCTAGGCGGATAACGTCAGCAGGAACTGACTGGATCTGAAGAATGCCACTACATCGTCATCCCTTCAGCACTGGCAGCTGTCCAGTGGTTGTGAGGACATCGATTTGTCTGCCAATGGCCTCCAGGCCTCGCCGCCCCTTCCGCCGGCCTAGATGTCGCCTGCTACGACAGCGCCTCCGCTGCCGCTGGCGGGTACATCAATAGAGTGAAAGGAGACCACCGTAGAACACTTGCATAATAAAAAGTTGGCACTATAACCATTTGAACGAGTACTGCAAGCCGTACTGTTAGTAGCTACTTGTAACGCCCTAGAATTGAGGAACGTTTGAGGAGCTTTGCTGCGAGTTCGAGTAATCCGACGTTTTCTTACAGTGGTACTGCCTTGAAGAAAGGGATTAGAACATCCTAAGAGCGATTGAGCAACTAATGTGCGATATGGAATTACAATAAGAGTGATTTCCGAAGTATTTTGCAGTGTCACTGATGTAGATGACTGACTCATCTTGCACACAAGCCCTAGAAAGAATGAGAAAGTGAGGAGGAATAAAAAGGATCAAGATGCTTACAGAGAGAGGAATGCATGTGAGAAAAACGGCGGCTAGCCTTGTACTTTGGCACTAAAATGTAGTACTGCCCGAGTTTTTTGTAGCACCAGTAAAAGATTACAAATTCGAATTCTATAGGGTTTATGTTTTGCGGTAAGAACGTTGAAAACAAAGGTCTAACTCTTTGAAGAAAGAAAGATAAGCTTTATTTAAAAAATCGAAAGATAATGTAATTAAAACGAAAAAAAATCGCTGTGGAAAAAATTCTCGGCAAGAGAGAAGTCAGAAAGTTAGAAAGAATCAATCCTCAAAAGAACAGGAATTACAATAGATTACCTTGGCATCGGTTTTTTTCTTGATAGTGATTTTTGGTGGCTTTTCTGCTTGTCCCGTCCGTCTCAGTTGTGAGACTCTAAAAAAGGGTTATAAAAAATTTGACACATTGTCAGGCGTGTCTTGCGGCTATGACCCGTAAACGACTTGTAGGTTACCTGAGCCTATCGTTTCTGAGATGACCGAATTCAGAAAGATTAATCTTCCCGAGTCCAAGTGAAACACCTCTAGCGGCCAGCATTTTCACTCAACTATAGTCAAAACTAGCAATATTCCAGCATTTTAGCGAAAGTTCAGATTAACTGGGTGGCGGTAGATGAACAGCTTGTAGAAGTAGTTGTCAACCTATCGTTGTCATTGCTGAAAACAATGGAACACGAAACCACGCCCACACTCACGGCGTGTTGGCAATCGCCCTGTGGGTACTGAAACTACTCAGCGCTGTTCGAGCTCACTGGCTCAGATTCATTTATTTTTTACGAAAACTCTTTAGCATAGTTCCCAGAATCGACTTTCTACTCACTTCGGTACTGGATTATAAATGTTTCGCTTTCTTCTTCAGCAATCGCGAGGTTGTTGTGCAGCACACGCTTTACTTGCGTTCAAAAAGCACGTACAAAATATCCTTCCAGGATCTGAAGTAAGAGATATTGCTGAAACGCCAGCTACTGTTGTTTTGTAAATTTTCTTTTTGTATGGAAGTGAACGTGCGCTGTATAACAACCTCGCGATTGCTGAAGAAGAAAACGACAGACCCTTTGGAATACTCTCAATGAAACACCGAAACATGGATCCACAACGTACTAAACGGATTTTGTTTCCTTTTTTTCTTTTTATACCGATAAGATAGTGAGAAAAACAAAGAATACCCTTTTCTGTAAGAAAAAACGGTGATTTACTAAGACCTTAGAAAACTTAACGGAATTCGCTAAATAAGTGATAAGAAGAGAAATCCTAGGAAAAGAAGTCATTGTGGAGCTGAGGATCCTTGTAGACATTTGGGTGTGGTCCACACAACGAAGCCAGTGGTCGCTAAGGCATCATCAGAAATTCAAAACGGCAAGCAAAAAGCGGCGAACGAGTAGAATCAAGATTCGATTTTGGCAAGAACGCATTCGTTTTCGGGAATTTTAACGGAAACATTGGATGAATAGGAATCGATCTGGACAACTGACGTCGCTTTACCAGATCGACTCTGTATCAGAATTCAGCATCGACGGTCTCCCAAAGCACTAATCATCTAGGCATTGAAGCGAAAAACGGCCGCAACAAAAGAACGAACATTGTTTCCAGTGCAGTCTTTTTTTCTGGATATTCATTCATCGACCAAAACATATAGAGAAGATAAGGGTGAAGTTGACACAGAAAGATCAACATTTTATTAGAGACTGAAAAAGCTAGAATCAACTCGCTTCAAATGTCTTCGACGGGATGTAGACAGGAATGAAAAATTGAATGCTTTTTGAAGGCACTGGCGAATGCAAAACTCATTCAAGTGGGTGGTTTTCACAATCAGAAAAAACAGCTGAAATATCACTCAACAATGAAATTTGAGGGTTTCAACGAGATGTCACATTTGAGCCTGATTTATAATCTCGCAAGCGCCATTGAAAACGAGTTTACCTTGAGGTGCGGCGAGAGAGCAGTCGGAGTTTAAATATCATTCAGAGGTTGTACTGCCCACTGAAAGGTCCTGAAATCAATTGTGAAACCCTTCTGAGGTGACTTGAAATAGGATAACTTGGCTCACTGTTAGGAGCCCTGCTGGACCTGCAAAGCGAGAAAATAATTATTGGGCTCTAATCGAATCGTACTGCAACGAAAATCCGTTGCATCCTTTTTCCTCGAAGCGTCTTTTATAAAATTTCAGTTTCCACAAAGAAAGTGAAACTTTGGATTCGTCCGCGCTGCCGTAACTCGTTCGCTAGTACTGCCAAGTCTATCATAGTAAAAATTCACATCGCTTTCTTTCACGTGTTCAATCTCTTCCAGAAAGCCCATTTTCACCGAAGGAAAACCTAACAATTACGGCAACTCTTCCTTAAAATAAAAATCGCACACATCAAAGACGCTTTATCGCAAAACTACCTAATGGTTCTAAAATTTTGAGGATAAAAACAGGGATAAGTGTTCGACCTCAATGCAGTCATTTAGGAATCACTATGCATTTGACTTAATTAGCCGAGATGCTCGAATGCCTATCTGGCCTATTCGATGACTTTTTATTTTCCTTATAGTCTCACATATCTCTAGGAAATTCAGACTTATTCATGGTGCATCATTTAGAGATTGTTTTATTTTTATAGATAGACAGAAAGCCGTTTCTAAAACACCTAAGCGTATAACCAGGAAAAACTTGTAGTAGAAAAATTCGAAACCTAGCACAATACACATTGATAGCAAAACATAGACGCTCATGTAATGAGGCAAACACATGAGAGGTGGATGAAAAGAACATCGGAGTGGACTCTAATTAGGATTCAAACGTATGTTTGGACCACAACCGAAACGATGGGCGGAGTGTTCGCGGCTAACGTAGACTATCTGCAATTTTCGGATGGTTAACATTTTCAGGATCACGGAATTTTCCCCGTCGATGTCACCATGTTCGAATTAGACCACCACCATGGGTGGCAATTGCAGGAGAAGGAAATGAATACAAGTGTTGGGGGTCGCAATACTCGTGATGACGGCTGTCTAAGTAAGCATCCAGGTGTCTAAATAATGAAGAAATTTATTCGGCTATAAATGGTCAGCTCATATACTGTTGAAGGCAAAATTTTCAAGAGGAAGAAACTGCATGTGGTTGAAAGGAACTTATGCATTTTTTGGTTGGATTTTTAGCCATGATAACCTTCGACAGTATATGTATATGATAGGGTTACGTTTTCTTAGTTCACAGCCACGAAAAACCTGCAAAAACCCAGATTACCTCAAGAGTCGCAGCTCTTCTCCAGTGGTTCTAAGCTATATTATGCCGTCTACATATATGTATCGTTGCTTAATGGTTGTGATGACGTCGAACACGAAATTCTAATGATCGCTTTTCGCTTTCTATTCCTTTGTCTGCAATTCTGGCGAAGTGCTTGGAGGTATCGGTCTAATCGGTTCACTGGATCGGTAGTTGACTGAATTCTGGATCCCCTGCATATGAAGCCTTCCATCGCTTCAAGGTCGACAAATTAGTACCACATTTATCTCGGCACGATAGCAATGGATTCGATTCATCGCTTAGCCATTGGAAGTGACCTCTACGTTGGTACAAATGTAGCCGGATTCATGGCATTCAGGTGATTGGTCACTTACGAATGCTTTATTCTTTGTCACTTACACTATGTGATGGTGGTTTTTTTCAGGCACTTAGTACAAAAGCGCTTAGCACAAAGCTTTTTTCCGTAACGATTAACTTTTTTGGAGATTTTGCCACCTTCGGAGTCCCTTTTTCTTCTTTTCTAGCTTCCGCTTTCTTAAAAACTATAAAGTATATTGCCACGTACAGGGATTTTAAAACTATTATTAGCTCTTTTAAAGATTTACGATTTTATTATTACTATTTATTATTATTTGCTACATTATTATTATTACAGTATTTATTACATTTGTTCAATTTCATATCGATTTTTTTGTGCACGATATTGAGTAATCAACGTATTCGTGAGTTGTATCTTTACAACTAATCTTTTTACATAGGCACACTTCAAGGTACAATGAAAAAGACAGCATTAATGTTGATTTTCAACAAAAGCAGCGCACTCATCAATCCGAGACGGCGTTCGGTAAGCTCAGGGCTCTCCGTTCTGGCGTAATTATTTCTCGTCGGGACATCCAATCTTTCTGGAGTAGTCAGCCGCTTCTCTATAGGACCACTTTACTCCTCCTCCCCTCTATTACTTTTCCTATTGACTACTTAGTTTCAGCACCTCTATTTTCTTCACTGTCTTCCAGTTGTCATCCCTTAGGATTATCGGCTGCGGATTTGGCCGTAGTGTTGGAATCTCTGGTCTTCTTTTCTTATTTTCGAATAATTTTCGAGATATAATGCTCTAATGAAACCACCACCATCGACGGCGACTGTGAGGGAAAGCAACGAATGGCAAATGTGCTGGGGTTCGCACAACTCATGACGTTTGCAGGTTTTCACTACAAATGGTCACTGAATTCCGCGAACTGGAGCTAAATTTGCTGCCTGGTAACTTGGACTCGTCCAAGACGACATCCAATCCTGTAACGGCAGCCAATTCAGCCATACGTGGAATAATCGCTCAAAGACTGTGAACGATTTTGATTAGAGAACAATAGGAACGTCAATAGTAATAACGATAATAGTAGCAGATTTTGTAGCCAATCAATGACTATAACTCATCTCCACCGACCAAAGCTTACTTTGGAGATAATACTCATTTCACAACTGCGAACATTTCAGTGGATTTCTCCGTCTTCAAGATTTGAAGCGAGTCAAATTAGTCCGCAAACGTTCAGTGTATCAACTCTGCAAAATGAATTAAAACTCTTAGTCACTGCTTCAATATTTATGCCGTCCACTTTTCATAATAGTAAATGAGAACGCCAACAGGCGGCCCACATAAAATGAGAATGCTTCCCGCCTTAATCGAAATTTGATGTGAAATCTCAAGCTAATTCACCTGTAGTTATAAATCATTTATTCCAGCTAATTTTTCGTCTTCGATTTTTCTGATATCCAGGATGCCTAGAAGAATTTTCATACTTATTTGTTCGGTTCCTATAAAGGCTTGTGTGGCGCAGTGGTTGGAGACGCTCTGCAACACACACATGGGATCCATCTCTGTACTCCGGGCCACCAAGCCTCCATCCCTCCGGGGTCGGCAAATTGGTGCTCGACTTGTTTGGGAAGAAAGCAGCACTGGCTCGGTACATCGCTAGGCCGCGGCAAGTCATTGTAAACGCCAGATATGTATTGAATCACCTCCAACAGTGCTGAATGAAGTCGAATGCATGGCGCATCTCTCAGGGATTGATCAACGCCGCGAGCTTTATCCTTTATTTATTTGCTCAATCACTTTTATAGAATTGTAACTTTGACCACGAAATCCTCATTAAGATTTTGTGAGCCTTTTTTGCCTAGTCAGGCAACACAGTCAGGTGTGTTTAAATTTAAATTTCTCACTTAGTTCTCTCGTTGTATTCATTCTCGTTACATTTAAACGCATCAGATACACTACAGCAGAGTTCGAGCAATCTCCACATTCTTCACACGCCACT